CATGGTCCCCAGGCAGTCGCTCTGCAGGGCGCATTTACGTCCACACGTGTCTTTCCATGTAGGAGGAATCTTCCTGACCATCATGTTCCCATATTTCATTCTGGGTGCAAATGAAACTGTTTAATAAACTGACCATTAACGTACCGTATCTTCCTTTGATCACTAACACAGGCCACTGTGTTTTTCATAGATCAGTTGTTTGGACAGTGTGGGAGTGTTTTGAGGTCTGCATTAGCAGGATATTTACACTTGAAAACATACTGATGATCCAAACCAAGGCCTAACATCTTTGATCAACCATAAACTGCTTTCCCTAGTCCTGACCTGACACCTCTCTGGTGAGGGCATGGAAGTTTCAAGAAAGAAACTGTTTAAATAATGATCAGTTTTCAGGGACAAACTAATTTCTTCCCTTCCCTTGTAAAAGTCCTGTTTACAAGGCATTCCACTCCCAAGAGGTACCAGAAATTGCAGAGGGCTTTGTTGGTTCTTCCACAAAATCAGTCCTGCACTTCGGACCCAAGTCCAGGCGCCAGGTTTAGCTGTGCGTTGGTACCACACAGGGGAGGATAGTTGAGGCTGGGTAGCTCCTGCCTGCTGAAATTAAACAGTCTGTCAGATACAGCCAAGGTGGGACAGGCACCTGGAAGCTGACACCACTTGCCTTCCTAAGCTGGTGTTTGGCAAATATCCCTGTTTTCTGTATATTCCAAAGGGAAAAAAAAAGGGGAAAAAAAAAAAAAAAAAAAAAAGAAGAAGAAAAAGACCCCACCCTAGTGTTCAAAATAGCCCAGTCTCTTAAAACTCTGGGGAGTCAGAAGCTGAAGGGCAGCAACATCTGCCAGATGTGTCACCCATTCCCTCTTCCAGCATCAGCCCCTCCAGCCCACAGCCTGTTTCAAAACCCAGCCATCCCCCTCAAAACAAACCAGATGTCACCTCAGCCCTGCCTGGTGAAGCCTCTTCTCCACACAATCCAAAATACTTACCACTGATGGCTGGCCACAAGCTTGACCCATCCATCCTGAGGATTTCATTAATCTCCTCACAGCATCCCACTGACAGCTCCAGCAGTTTGTGTTATGACAAAATGTGGCCGTTAACCACGGTTTGGTTAAAAAACAAAAGCTTTGTTTCTAGGCACTATTTTTCTTACCTTATGAAAGGGTCGAAGGAAGGGGGAGATGAAAATATTACTGACACAAGTGAGTCAGTATAAAAATGTTTTCTTTTTTGAGAGAGAATGTACATAGACCACACTGTCCTCAATGTGAGTTTAACTGCCTGGAGCCCCCAGAAGTATATTTTTCATATTTCTGATGGGACAAGGTCACATTTCTGCCCAGAGGTTTTGTGCTATTTCAATCAGCATTGATCTCTGATAATTCATGCTCTCTTTCCATACATGTCTGCCTAGAAGACAGCCTCAAGTGGGCCCATATAGTCCCTGATATTAGCCTTGTCTACAGTGGCAAAAATCAGTTTGGTAATTCAGTAACTGGCAAAATTTTTAGCCTCAGGCTTGGTTCCATTTTTAGCCAACAGGGAGCAGCCAGCAATGCCTCGTGAATCCGTGCAGCAGCGCACATCTGGGCTGGAGTCACACGCTCACACTGTTACTGTCCAGATGAGCTTTTTTTTCCCCTTGCTCCAGTAATACTGAATTAAGCCACTTCATTACACTTAATTGGAGCCAAGGGATACTTCCAAGCTCTGAGCTTTGGTGAAGATTTGTATTTACTGAAGATTTCTCTTATCTCCTGCCCTGTCAAACTTGTTTCTTTGACAGAAGCAGGCAGGATCCTTTTTCTTTATATTTCCCCCCAGAGGTACATGCTGCCTTTCTCTTGTAAGCTCCTGGTTTAAATCTATACGTGCCAGCTGCCCTCTTAAGAATCATTTGTGCCCAGAAGTATTTTAGGAGCTACCAATAATTGCTCCAGACAACTGTTAACCTCATAAACACCAAGATTAACATGGTGTCTTTGAACTTTCTCTGAAGACTGCGAATGTTAACTCAACAGGCACCTTCTGCAGCCCTTAGAGAAGAACTGTCCTGACCAGAAGGAATATATGTCAGAACAAAAAGATGAAAAAAGATGTGACATCAACTCCTCTCTCTCACCTGCTAATTCTCCAGCTAGACTTCAAGATCTGTATAGACTCCTCTTCATGCAATAAAATGCCATTAAATGTCAGGAAATATCAAGCTGTTATTCAAAACTATTAATCTAAAGGAAGTGATTAAAAAGACACAACTTTTTTTAGTAGTTTTGGTTTTTTAAGTCAAAGGCAGCTGTTATTTTCTGGCTCATAAGATGTTTTCTAAAATTCAATAGAAGCCTTACAAATATTTAGCAAGTTCCTTCAAAACCCAGTGTTTTCCTTTTCTTATAATTTAACCTTCCAGTGTTCTGATCTGGAAAAGAGAACACTGTATTCCAAATTAATCCACTGAGACAAGAGGGGAGAAAAAACCATTTTGGACTTTTTTCCCCCAGTAAAAACAAGTAAGTGAATGGATGATCAAAACCCATAATCTCTCTAATAATATAGTTTCTTCAGACATATTAGAATAATCTGAGGCATCTTCCCCCTCCATGCAGAGATATTAGCAAACAGCTAAATACAATTTTTTAGTATTTGTTTTTAAGAATGTTTAGAGACCTAAGTCCACCCAGGTCACCAGTGAGGGTGAATGTTTGTAGCCAATGGAATCAGACCTCAACTGAATGTAACACTGAATATGCAATATAAAGCTTCTACTATCTTAACTCTTTTAACATCTGCATATTTTTAATATAAAGGGGACGATTAATAAATATATATGCACTTTTATTTACAGATAATGTACAGAAAATAGAAGCCTATCCATGTATTAATAGAAAAGCACACTTTTAAAATATGATTTTATATTTTACACATACATGAAAGAGTCCTTTAAGATGAAAGGAATAAAGAATGGAAAAAGGCATGTCCTTCCTACAGCTGCATGAATCTGTCAGCCACATCTTGTCCACCTCTGTGGGGATGATGTGACAAGTCCCACACACTCATCTGAAGTACAAAATGCTTTAGCCAAACATCTCCCTCCTTCCTACCAGTAAAAGTAAATAAATAAAGCAGGAAAAGAAACAAAAAGGGAGCTTTGAGGGCGTGGATGAGTCAGAGGTTAGTAATGGACTACAGACACTCATCCCTGGGCCAGCAGCTCGCACCCAGGCTCTGTCAGGAGGGACAGGGAATTGCTGGCAGCCTGCAGGAAGCCACATGAGGATTCCCAGTCCCGGCGGCGGGATCCCCTCAGCGTGGCCGCCAGCAACGGCACAAGGAACGTGGCAGAAGGGAACGGGAAGACCCAAAATACTCGCCAGCCCTTGGACAGAAACCACCCTGGTGATCTCCACCAGGTGCTCCTGCCTCTGCTCTGTCCATAGGAAGGCCTCGAGCACCCAGTGACGCCCAGGACGTGCAGATGCCAAAGGACATGTCACAGATTCGCAGTGCAATCCCATTTTGGCATGCTTCTGGTATGGTGTGTGAAACAAAGATACAAAGTCCCAGCATCAATGCTGCACACAGCCACTTTGTCAGAACAGAGAGTTAGTAAATTTGTTAGGAACAGAGTATACTAGGGGCCACATCCTGTACTTTATCCAATACTTTATTCTCTTTCCCACACATTGCCTTGCTTGCTCAATTTACTCCAGAAAACACGTTATATCCACATAAAAGCTGACAGTTCTCCTACTCTGTGCCTTGCTTTGGTGACTGTCACAGAGCAGCGTATCAATTTCCTCCACAGACACTTGGCAGAGGTTTCCTTCCTGCTCCAGAGGTGGGATCTCTACTTCTGGAATCTGAAGCAGACCAACACTTGCCATTTTTCCTGCAATGTGTCTCCAAATGAACAATATAGCATCTATGAAATCTGCATGACTGTCTGGACTTTGATCGGTTCTTCAGCTGGGCACTGATGTAACATCCTAACCAGCAGGCACATCACCCCAGGAGGTTCTCCAGCAATTTGCAAGTTGAAGCACAAAGGGAACACTGATCTCCCAAAATGCACACCTTCCTTCCCATCACCTATTTACCCAAGTATTTTTCTCTTTTCCTCAGAAGTCACACTCCCCACAGAACCACCACAAGCTATTTGATGTTGTCCTAAGAACTGCCAATCACCAAAGGCCAATCCCTCCAAATGGTACCAGTGGAAAAGCTGGAGAAAGAAGGAGCAGAAACGAAAACGCCCATGAAGCCTTCAAAGAGAAAACAAATGGAGCTTTTTTTAAACACTGCTCGTTTTGATTTCTCTTTTTTTAATGCCTGCAGCAGAGGAACACTTACAGTCCCGACAAGTTTCAGTAGAAGTAATGAAACACTTTTGTACCACAGCATTACTCTGACATTTAATTGACCATGTATTTCCATCTTTTAGCCTTACATGATTCCTCCATCTGAAACATCACTCTTTTAAAATTAATCACTCCATTTACACTTGTTTGGATTTTTGTGTCACAGTTTCTACCCTGCCTCTCTCACTTTTCCTCTCTCATTGCCACTGAAAGACCAGAAATTATTTTGTACCTGTGGTCAGCATGTTGAATTTTCTTCTGCTTTATTTACTTTAATATAAGTCCATCTGAGAGCTGATCAAGTCTGAGCTAATTACCAGTATTTTTCAAACAGGCTGCTAGTATTAAGTTGAAAGGGGATATGTGAATTTCAGTACACAACAGCAATGCCAGCAGTGCTTTAAAAATCTACTGCTTCTCATCAGATTCTTTCTTTATTTAAAGACAAAGCTTGCAGCTAAGTCACACCCTCATTCACACCCTACCATGCCCATTTCCCATAAGGAAAGGACCATGCAATAACATAACGCTGTTAACTGAACAAACCTGATATTTATTTTCAGCCCTATCAATATTAATGCATAAGCTCAGCCTTCTCCAGGACAGCAACTGGTGGCACAGAGCAAGGTCCCTCTTGCATACCTGTTCTGATGTTCCTGCAGCACCTGGTAGATGCTGATAAGGAAGGTTTGGTTTTTAAAGCTTCCCACAACGCAGTCCTTGTAGATCCGAAACTCAGCAGCTGTGACAGCCTCGCCCTCAGGAATCTGAGACAAATTAAATTTGAATTCCTTGTGGTGCCGCTGGTGAGGCGTGAACTCCTTGTCATACTCAACTGCAGATGGGAAAAGGAAAGAAAAGGAAAAAAAAAGGAACCATGACTAAAATTTAACAACAAAAGGTTTCTACATGCTGCCACCTGTTGCTTAAAAAAAACCAAGAATCTTGTTCTTTTCTCCAAAGATAGCCCTGGTGAGTGTCAGGAAAACTTAAAATTAAAGCTTTTCAAATGCAGTACTAAGTGAAGGTGAATGTTCCCCCTCTCTAGCCAATTCCTTTGGGATTTCCTATTTTTTAAAGAAAAGCCAGCTTTGACAGGTGAAATATGACCACGCATTTTGCTCCTGTGGAAAACTCTGAAGCTTGGGACCACTCCCAGCATTTTCCACCTGTGGCTCTCCATGTTCTTTACAGCATTTCCCTAAGTCTCATAGCCCTCTTCCAAGCAAGGAGACAAGTAGCTCCATTTTGCTTTAGCACACAAAGGCATAGGCAGAACCAAGTGATAGCACCAGGTCAACTGATTCCCTAAGTGCCCTAAAACACCCTGTTTTCTGGCTCCCAGGTTTGTACACTAGCCATTGCACCAACTTATGAGTAAATATGATTAACATGACATTTATTATTTATCCCCCTCCTTTTCAGCAGCTTATTTTAGAAGGAGAGAGCTGAAGAATGGCCACTTTTGGTTTCTGGTCTTAAATTTCCTTGGGTACACTCTCAAGCATAGGATGTAAGACAGACACAAAACAGAATTCCTCTTTCCTTAGGTCTCAGGATTTGCATTTTCTCTGTTTGGGGGTCCCTTTGTAAACTCCGTTTCCAGTCCCACTCTTGTATTACTTGATTACATCTCAGTCTAGTCTGACTTTGATTAATTGTTTGTTATTTTTTCTAATTTTCTACTAGAAATCATTTAAAACATTAACATATTATATAAATATACAAAATTACATCTTTACAAGCCTTAGGGGACAAAAAGTAAAAACAAAAAGCTGTTCCCAGCAGTGGAACTCAAGGAGTGTATGTCAGTGATGAATAAGTCACCATTACGTTATCATTGGGGACATGATTACATGCAGAGTCAGCAAGAGAATAACAGATCCCTTTTATTGTTTGTCTTTGTGGTCACTTTTTGTTGTTCCCCCCGCCTCCATTTAATACATCAGACTGTAAAGGCATTCACAGGCCTACTCTCACAACACCCCCGTGAGGTAAGCAAGCAATGCCTGTTCTCCAGCTGGGATACTGAGTCACCAGGAGAGTGACTTGTCCAAGGACAGGCGGTGGAGGCTGGCAACAGAGCCAGGAATGACAGCCAGCGTGCTTGAGGTTCGGCACTTTACCCAGAGGTTACCTCCCTGAAGAACAGACATCTCCCAGCTGCTGGAAACAGCCCATGGAGACTTTCCCCTCTACCTTGCCCAACTGCCTATTCCTCCTCATTCTCCAGTCACAGTTCCATCTGCCCTCTCCCTTTCTTTTGGCAGCCCTTCCATGTGAGCTACCTCATCTGGCTAGGTCCATGTCCTGGCTCCCTGTTAGACAGTTAGTCACATCCTTCTCTTTGAAGGTCACCTGGAAATCTTTTTACCTCTTTGTGACTGTTGCCAAGCATTCTATGGGATACCACACTGGGGGATGCTGTGTTAAGGGCTGCCACAAGGCAAACAGGCAAATTCTCAAACTGCTGTCAGAGTCAGACACTGCTGCCAATTTTGTTAGTCTTGCACTGCTTCTGTCTGAGCAGCTCATATGTCAAACAAGAGACAAATGAGGATGATTTGACTCTATGGCTTCCAGAAATGAGGTTGTGACACCCAGCATCTCCGTCACCAAGACCACCAAGAGAGACTGCACCAAGGCCAATGATGGTAACACACTCAATTCCAGCTCCACCAGGAATTACCTCTCTGGCTATTGGTTATGGGTGATCTGGGCTTCCCTTTGGAGCACCTGCCCCTGTGTTTAGTGGGGAACAACTCTGGCAGTACTGGACTGGTTGATGTCACTTGCATGTGTGCCCTCCAGGACGGAACCCGAGCTGCCCAATCACTCTCCATCCTGAGGAGAGTTCCACAGGATGCACTTCCCAAAAAAGAGGAGCCATGTACTTTGAGAAACTTGTAAGCAGCCAACCAATGAGAAACTGCGTTGGGCTGCTTGCAGCAGGACATGCCCAGCTTGGCCCATGTACTCGCTGCTAAAAGATGAGAAGATGTAATTAATGGTGAGGGAATGTCTAAATCCACAGGTTTGGAGAGGCACACATATGAAGCAACAGTTCTCAATTTAGAACTCGCTACATCCTTGCTCATGGGTGCAGTGACCAGCTGAAACCCACACCCCTTTCCGTGCTGTCACAGGGATGAGCTGACCTACAGGCGAGGTGCAGTGAGGTGGCTTTTCCCCAGGCTCGTGGCTGAGGATGATAAAGAAGAAGCAGGAAGAGCAAGGGGAAGGACACAACCAGGATAAGCAACAGAACTCCATCAGGGTGCCAGAAAGCTAAAATTACACCAGAGACAGCAAAGGAGTCATTGATGCTTCCTGCCAGCTCTTGCCCTACATCAAGATGTGATATGGTCTCTCCCTGTGCATGAGAGAGCCTGGAGTTGTCCCACACAGCACAGAGCTCAAAATGAGCCCAAACATCACTTTTTTTTTTTTTTTGTTCCTTTCTGACCTCAAGCCAGCTAGAGTGGCTGACCTCCACTCATCACTAAAATGCGCAGTTGAAAAGTAATATAACCAAACTCTAGTCCTTTAAATCAGTATTTTCCCACACTCCTCTCCAAAAAAGTCAAACACAAGTCACAAGAGGGAGAAAAGTCCACCAAAACAACTACCACAGAGCATGACAAGGAGCAACAGGTATGATGCTTGACTCCAATTACCCTTTCCCAGTTTATAACTTGCCTGATATATTCACAATAGTATTTTCCTGTTTTTTTCAAGCTTTCTTCCTTTATCTCTGTCCTTGCCCAAATACACCACACAATCATAGAAGCTGACTAAACTGGTTACAGGGGAAACATTCAGACTTGATTTTGTTATCAGGCTTGGCAGAATAAACAACCCGAAACACACAAACAAGGAAATCTTTTTTTAATCCTTCAGATTAAGCAATTCAGCTCATTCTGTATTAAGAAAGAAATACTGCTAAGCTGATGGTGTCCTCCTCCACTGGGATCAGTTCAGAAGCAGCCCAACAACATCACAGGACGGAAAAAAGCCTATTAAGCTTGTATGAAGCAAGTATAAAAGTTTAATGAGTTGGAAAGTTTTTCTGGCTATGTATCTTCCCATGATACAATGAAGGGTGGATTTTTTTTCTTTGTGGGAGTGGTGAGATATTTAAGTTCTATACACTCATTGTCACCCCATCAAGCTAATAATCAACTGTTTTCATTCAGCAAGACAGCTTAAAAATATAAAATGCCAACAGTCCTACTCTGGGGTTTTTTTGCCCCCTGGAAACTCTTCATTTTTAACAAAGAAATCAAGTTTTAGAACTGCAAAATTTGGAAAGGCAAGACTCAAGCTGTGGTTCCCAGGAATCATTGCAACCCAGTCTGGATTGCTATTGCATTACAAAGCATCACATGAGCTTGTATTCAAAATATAGACAGCATACATCGAAATGCAAGGCAACAGCAAAAAGCAGAAATCATTTCTCAAGCTGCTTTCCCATTATTATTTTTTCCACATGAATACATTTGGGTCAGTCTGACCGGTGATGTGAAATCCAAAGCTAACTTCCATCTGACGATGGACATAAGAATGTCTCAACTGTGCAAAGCTCTTGCAGGAAAAATCAGGCAGCTCACAGCTGGGGCAGATTGGAAGGTGGAAGCCCTGAGTGGTGTTGGCCTCCATAACCTTTTCCCAAAGTGCTGGCTGGAATGTCAGGACCAAGCCAGGCAGAACTAGTCTTTGTAAGGCTGTGGCATGAGCTACAGCCTAAAAAATTAATCTTCATTCATGATCAGACTGTATTATCCCAACATTACTGTTCTTTTGATGGAGTAAGTCCTTGGAGGTCACAAATCCAGGCCTGCACATATCAGGGCAAGTTGGGAAAGGAGATGTCAAACAGATTTTAGCCCATCACGAGCCAGAGGGATTGCCCACTCTCCATCCTGACTGGTGGCTGCTCCCTTGCTTGTAATGCAAAGGAAGGTGTGAGCTCTGGACATTTGGACTCACCCGCAACTTTTCACTAGAGGCCATTTCTGAGCAGACTGGCAGAGCATGCAGAAAGAGTTAACAGAGAAGCCTGCCAGTAGCTCTTTACATTCCCCTTAACAAATATTTTTAAATACTATACAAACACAGCACTATTGTTAAGCAGTTAAAAAGGCAAGAATGGCAAAATTAGGGTTACTGTGGTTTTGAATTTTGTGTATTCTAATTCTAACCCAGTGTTGCAATAGCCAATTTCAGCACAAAATGTCCCTGGTTTAAAAATAGCGTGCTGCTTACAATACTTGTTATTTTAAAAACACTGCACAGAAAAAAAAAAAATTCAGAAATTAACACATCTATTTTAGCAACTATACCATCCTACTTCCACTTGACTGTGTAGCACACACCTTGGACCTAAGGAAGCATAAGCTTAATGACAGTCATGGAAATAAATTCTCCTTCTGCATTGTAATTTTAAGCATTTCTTTTTGGATCTAAATTAAACCAGTATGCAGAAATAACAGGTCAAGAGTCTTTCCTAGGAAACACAATTTTCACTTTGAACAGCAGCACCAAGTATCATGCTATCTGGTGATTTTCTCCACTTCCCAGCTGCTGAGAAAAGTGTTAGGTCAAGTGCTCAGGTGAGAATTAAAATACTGGCTTAAGGAAGTCTCTAGCTCAAACTGTAGGTAATAAAGCCAAAAAAACTAACCTACAGTTCCAGAAGTAATTTTTTGAAAATAAATTTTCTATATAAATAATTATTATTTCCATGACAACGCAGTTCTTTGGAGGATACAGAGAAGGAGTGGGGTTAAAAATTATTAAGACAGGACTATTTAGGACATTCTGCATCTGTCCTGA